CAATAGGCGGGTGGATCCAATGGATTGAGATAATTTGTCTAGGAGGCTTACTAGAAGTAGACTTGTTGGCATCATACCAATCCCTTGCAAATTGAAAAATGAACTTCTGGGGAGAGACAGGCGGTTGTTGACCATCGTTGAAGACAAGATTGTTCCTCCCTTTCCAGCAATACCAAAGAGTTGAAGCAAAGATAAGGTTCCAGGGTAAACCATGTATGGTAGAACATTGTGTCCTAAGGTTTATGGCCATCCAACTCTGAAAATCAAGAGCAAAGGAATGGGCAACTTCAGGAGGGATTCCAACACCATTCCAAAAGAAAGGGGACTGCTTACAAGACCTGAAAATATGATCCATTGACTCCTCAATATTAGGGCAGATTGGACAACACGGGTTATTAGTAAACCCTCTTCTAGCTCTCTGCACATTGGTGAGAATTTTCCCATGACCAATAGTCCAAAGAAAAGTCACTAATTTGGGTGGGAGCTTGAGTTTCCAAATGAAGTTCCATTTCCAAGGAATGATATCATCATCGCCAAAGAGAGAGAGATAAGCAGTTTTCACGGAGAAGGTTCCAGAATTGGTGAGGCTCCAAATTACCTTATCTTCCCTATGATTCGCAATCCCAACATGTAAACTGAAAATATGTTCCACAATATCAGGGGGAAGGCAGGAGTATAACAATTCTACATTCCAACCATCATCAGTAAGGAAATCATCAACAGACCATTCAAGCATGTCAGCTGAAAGAGGGATGGTAGCAAAATTTTCGAGTACGCCACTCTCAAGCCAGTTGTCTTTCCAAAAATGGATTTGGCTTCCAGATCCGACTCTCCATCTCATACCATTAGGAATGATTTGGGCACCAAAGAGGATTCCACGCCAAGTATGAGAACAATTAGTGAACTTAGCAGAGCAAGCACCCACCATGTCGTGGTGTTTGAGATATTTTCCTTTCAGAACTTGTGCCCAGAGGCCCGGGTCTCTTTGCATAAGTTTCCAACCAGTTTTAGCAAGGAGAGCTTGGTTCATAGCATGGGTATCTTTCAAGCCTAAGCCACCCATAGATTTAGGTGTGGAAACTGTCTCCCACTTAACTAGGTGAACCTTGGACTTATCCTCAGTGTGACCCCATAAGAAATTCCTGTTCAACTTATTAATTCATTTTATTAATTGTTTATTATTTACACTTTTTTATTTGACTCTCTCTCTCTCTCTCTCGTCTCTCTACTTTCTCTTCTTCCATATGCTTCTTGTTCTTCACATGCCCAGATTGCTCCTAGTAAAAATCAAACTTAGTAAATCAAACTCATACTTTCTCTTCATTTCATTTTCTTTCTCTTCAATTCAAACCCATATTTCTCTTCTTTTAATTTATTTTTCTTCAAATCAAACACAGAAAAATCCCAAATTATTATTATTTTTTTTCAATTTACAGAGGCCTCGTCGGATCTGCAAATTCATTTCAATCAATTTCTGCAGCATAGTCATCGTCCTCCTTGTAGTGTCGTCGTCATCGTCCTCCCTAGGCTTACGGTGATGACCTGGCTATGGTTACGGCATCGAAGAAGAAGGTGGAGCGCAGAGGGATTGAACAGGCGGCGGTGGAGGAGCTTCGACATCGTCAATGACGACCTTGGTCTCCTCTTTGTGTTTTTTGTCATCGGCGGAAGAGGCTCGGCGGTGCATGCTATGCGAGTCCTGGGCGTCACTGGCGACAGTCTCCTCGTGGGACTAGCAAGGAGGAGGGAGGTGGCGGGAAGAAGTTGGGTTTAGGTTTGGATGGGCTTGCTGGGATTGGGTTAGCCATAGTTGGGTTGCTAGGTTTGTGGTGGAGGAGGAGGAGGCTACATGAAAGAGGGAGGGTAGACGAGAGGGAGGCTACGAGAAAGAAAATGAGGGTAGACAGTGGAATTAATGAAAAAAAGTAAGGGTATTGTTGTCTAAAAAAATTATAATTTTGTGTTCCATGTGCTGGAACAAGTTACTTCTGGGGGAAGGTGGAATGAAAAAAATGACTAAAATTCGTTTCACAGGACAGCACGTCCCAAACAATTTAGTGCACCAAACGTGAGACGAGTGTGTTCCATCCCATTCCACGTACTAAACGGTACCTAATTCTCCCCAATATTTAAACACATTCAGCCATTAAACATATAATTGAAGCTGATTAAGTAAACCCAATTCATGATTTCTGGAAAAAATTAAGAAAAATCTATGATTTGATTACTCGACTCTTGTAAAGCAGAGAGCCTTGTTGGCTTAGGGTTGCCCCTTGATTAGCTTAATTTTCTCTCACTTTATTATTGTTGAGCCTACTAATCATGTTTCTGCAAGGAGCTTGTAGGTCAGTTGGTTTAAGACCATCCTCACTTGCACCCGAGGTTCCAAGTAATAAGAACCTTAATTAGCCCCCAACAAACAAGCACATTGATCCACTAATACACTAGAACCTGATTAAAAATAAACCCAATTCATGATTCATGATTTCAGGAAATTAAGTATCAGTTCTAGTACAATTTCTTGCTTAATCCAAGTGAATTGTGGTACATAACACAGCGGTGAAGGTCAATGGATTCGTCTGCAAGGACGCAGCAAATGCAACAGCAGAGGACTTTTTCTTCACCGGACTAGCCAAACCAGGCCTCACCAACAACACGTTCGGCTCCATGGCGACTTTAGCCAATGTCGAAAAAATCCCCGGCCTCAACACCCTCGGCGTTTCGCTTGCCAGAATCGACTTTGCCCCCGGCGGAATTAACCCACCCCACACTCACCCCAGAGCCACAGAAATTGTTTACGTTCTTGAAGGAGAATTGGACGTTGGGTTTATTACCACAGCAAACAAGCTCATCAGAAAAACTATTAAGCAAGGTGAAGTCTTTGTGTTCCCCAAAGGGTTGGTTCATTTCCAAAACAACAATGAGAAGAGCCCGGCTTCCATGATTGCCACCTTCAACTCTCAGCTGCAGGGCAGAGTGGACATTGCCCTCACATTGTTCGCTGCCACGCCGGAGGTGCTGGATAATGTGCTGACCAAGACGTTCCAGGTGGGAACCAAGCAGGTTAACAAAATCAAGTCTAATCTAGCACCCAAGGCCTAGAGAGCTGCTTTGTTTCTTTGTGTTTATAATTTGATGGACTGGGGTGATGATCCTTGTATTTTCTCTCTTTGATTAGTCCAAACTAGCATTTGAGCCCGCGCGATGTCCGCGAGTTGTAAAACTATGTTATACGTATGAAATATATTGAAATCTATTTACATCTATAGCAGAATCTAAAAGTCATCTGAAGTGTTTTTAGAGATCACAAAATATAAATGTCGGTTGTGTAAATGTAGAAAATCTTAAATGCATTTGGGCACACATACCCTGGTATGCTACAACTAAAATAATGTAATGTGGCTCATCCATATTTTTTCATGTACATTATGAACCGCTTGTTATCCAAAATACTGTAGCAACCTTTATACAATAGATTCATTAGATTGGTTGATCGAAGCTAATTTGACCGAAGATCAGTTAGGACAGTCCGTTCATCTCGTGCATTTGGAGCTCAGATACAAGCTTGGCAATTGAATTCATAACATTGATGTCTAATAGATATTGAATACTTACTATGGATTTCATGGATAATTCGGTTGCTTGGATTACAAGTTAACCAATCATCACGAGATGCTGATTTGATATTTTGGATCAGGATCACACACGCCGGTGGTGGGATTCCAGAAGCATTGCTGAACCAGATGTTTGGAAATAAAGGAGACATATCTGAGGAGGGCATTAGCCTGCTCGTCAGCAGCAAACTGGTGAAGCTCATGAATGGAGACGTACGGTATCACTACTACAAAATTACCTATAACTGGCGATCCTAAAAGTGAGAAGTATCATATGAGAACCTAAAGTATATTCACCTGGTGATGCGACTGTGAGTTGTATAGCAGCAACGGAGTGAAGAAATTTGCAGAGAGAGCTATACGGTGGTGCTACTGTGGTGCTATGGGAGTGCCCTGAGACTGCAATTCGTTTACGGAAAACCGCAGAGCAGCGGCACTGTGACTATGAATTTGGGATTTTTAGTTGTGATTTTGGGAGAGATGAAGGGAGAAGGAGAAGGGGAGAAGAACAGGAGAAGGAAAGGGGGAATGAATGCAACGGGAAGAAGAAGAAACTGGGGAAGCGAGAAGGCAGCGTCGCAAGGAAGAGAGAAAGGGGTTTTATGTAGGGTTAAAATATTTCCAGCGGCTCAAACCGACATCACTCTTTTATGTGTAAAGAATATAATTAAAATCTGTCGGCTAGAACTGACATCCTCTTTTTCGTCTGAAAAAATGGTGGGAAATATCCCACCCAAAATTTTGTCACACGAGATACGTATTTAAAAAAATAAAAACACCAACCTATCGGCTACAACCGCCAGGAAGTTTGAAAATATTTATAAAAAAAAATATACTGTTGGGTAGAAGTGCAAGAAATAGCTCCTTAATCAACATTAACTTTATGTCGCTTAAAAGCAACTCTATTCCCTTTTTATATGACACCATCATTTAAAAAATTAAAAACTATGTCGGTTATAAGCAACATAGACAATCTATGTCGGTTAAAAATTGAAAACTATGTCGGTTTTATCCAACATTAACATTCTATGTTGGTTATAACCGACAGTACTTCCAACACCATGTAAAGAGGCTATCAGAAATGTCTTATTTGCCAGTATATTATATAAAACCAACATCAGTCTCCAACATAATAAGCCACTTTTGTAGTAATGTATCTTAGGGAAGAAGGCAAGTCAACCTTCTTGATATTCGTGGAACGCGCGGCTGTATACAAGATGAAGCCCTAAGACAATTTTCAACGGCAAACGACACCGATCCTCAAGTGTGCATACAGCCAACCTAAAAGGCGCGAGAGTTGAACGTTGCATCTTTGACATGCCTTGTAGTTTCAAGTAACACATCCTTCTTCCGTTGGACCATTTGTATCGATTTAACTTGTAAATGCGCATGTCTGTCCCGTGTTCTTTAAGTGGTCTTTGGCTTGTGACGGATTTTGCAGAACTTGAGAGCAATGTGTGAAGAATAATTGAAAGAGAAAATGGTGAAAGATTTTGCAATTTCTGCTGAGGATGAAGTTAGTAATTGTCCGTAATTTCATGTTTTTGGCTTTGTTTTAGCTTAAGTAATAAAGGGACTTTGGTCACGGCTCATCTTGGATTTGATGTCAGGAGCTGGTGAATATCACGATGGTGACATAAAAAAGCTGAAATGCTTAGGTAAGTCTTTCAAACCTCTAAAAAAATGGACTGTTGTGGTTTTATCACTAGCTAATCCCATTTTTAAAGAAAAATAAAATAAAAAGACGTTGGTCGTTCAAATGATTGGACTGTTTTAATTGATCTCAACATGTGACAAGATTTAAATGGTGGAAAAATTGGGAAAATCTAGCGTTAATGAAAACAAATTTGCTTAAATCCCAAGCATGTAGCAGTATAGTCCACTCATAAAGTAAGAATTAATTCCATTTTTCACTTACAGACGTAAGCGTAATCATATTAGTTGAAATAAATGTGCTCTTTGTATGTGCCAATATCCGACCATTCATTTTAAACAGAGTTATCTATGGCTTCACTTCATCTTTATCTATTTTCACTCTCATTTTCCTTAATTAAAATGAAAAACAAGCAAAAAAAGAAGTAATGAAAAACAAAAATGTCAGTGTGGATAATACCGTCTTCCGAAATCCTAAATCTTTCTCTCTCCCACTCACTTTTATAGGACTAGGATTATCTCCGTCTTTTCATCACCTTCTATCCCTCTCATCTTACATTCTTTTATTTTAAAAAGAAGTAATATAAGATATTGATATGACTTAACCGTGATCATTAAAATTCAAATAGGAGGGGAGGTAAAAAAAATGGAAGAGAGAATCCGACTCCACTTTTATAATTGCGATTCTGCGACGGCCCATTAGTTTTGAGTTTTAGGGTTTTAGTGTGCCCACCGAATCAGTTCTGTCTGGATTCGCACGTCGTCGCCCTCGTTCGTCCTTTCTCTCTTCATCTCATCTTCTTCGTTCAATTCTAATCCAGCAATCAAGCAACTAGTCCAGGAGCAAAATCTACACCTTGGATTTTGACGATGGAGATTAAGGTTGTTTCGTTCCCCGCCGAGAACCCTCCGCTCGCGGAGCTTGTCGCGGCCAAGCTCGCCGGGATTTCTCTCCCAACCGACGCCTCTCTCCCTCCTGATTCCCCTTATTCTTTTCAGTTCTCCAATGGGTAAACCCTAAATCCTATTACTTTTCTCCGATTGGTATTTTTTTATCAGTCATTTGTTATTTTTTTGCGAAGGGTTAAATTAGATGTTGAATGCATCTGTGGATTTAGGTTGAAATTACATGGAAAAAATGTACTTCTTCGATATATGGGTCGGATTGCGAAATTGTATGGGGAGAATGCATTCGAAGCTGGGAAGATTGATGAGTGGCTTGAGTACGCGCCTGTGCTCTCACAGGGTTCTGCGTTTGAGAGTGCTTGTAAGCATTTGGATGAATATTTGGGAAGCAATACTTTTTTCGCCAATCAATCTTTGTCGATCGCTGATATCGCAATCTGGTCCGGTCTTGCAGGTATAGCTTTGATTCCCTTACGGTTTGTTGGTCGTTGTTTATGATCTTTTTTTAGCATGATTATGAAGAAGTAGAAATTTAAGGACAAGTAACATAATTGCAAGTGCTTTTTGGGTCTTTGGGACTGCTTCTGTAAAAAGTACGTCTGCTCGAGAGCGATTCTGCTAGACGTGCTTTTATTGCAACCATTGTTAACTTTTATCAAAGGAGGTGCTTTCTGAAGGAGCACCTAGCAGGTGTTTTTTTTCCAGAAAGTGCTTCCATGACCCAGAAGTGCTTTTTAAGTTAATCTATCAAACGTTGGCTGCCAGAAAGGCAATCTCAAACCGGCCCTAATACGTGTTTCTTTGCAGGAACTGGGAAAAGATGGGAGAGTTTGAGGAATTCAAAGAAGTATCCAAACCTTTCTCGGTGGTTCAATTCCCTATTAGCCGGATATGGTGATGCTCTGAATGAAGTCACTGCTACCTTCATCAGCAAGAAAGGCTTCAGGAAAGCCAATTGCAGCTAAAGCAAAAGGCAATCAGGCTGATCCACAGTCAAAGGGTGCAAATGGAGATGCATCTGAGAAAGGTAAAGCAGGAAGCAAACCAACATTTGAAGTAGATCTTCCTGAAGCAAAGGTTGGGAAGGTTCGACTGAGATTTGCGCCAGAACCCAGTGGTTATCTTCACATTGGGCACTCAAAAGCAGCGTTATTGAATCAGTATTTTGCTCAACGGTATCAGGGTCAGCTTATTGTGCGGTTTGATGATACAAATCCTGATAAAGAAAGCAATGAGTTTGTGGACAATATTCTCAAGGATATTGAGACTTTGGGTATCAAGTATGAAAAGGTTACCTATACTTCAGATTACTTTCCTCAGTTAATGAAAATGGCCGAGAATTTGATTCGCCAGGGTAAAGCATATGTTGATGATACGCCACGTGAAGAGATGAAGAAAGAAAGGATGGATGGCATTGAATCAAAATGTAGAAACAACAGTCTAGAGGAGAATCTTAAATTATGGAATGAGATGATTGCTGGGTCTAAGAGGGGTAGGGAGTGCTGTGTCCGTGGGAAGCTGGATATGCAGGATCCAAATAAATCTGTCCGTGATCCAGTTTATTATCGCTGCAATCCAACACCACATCATCGGATTGGGTCCAAGTACAACTTATACCCAACTTATGATTTTGCCTGTCCATTTGTTGATTCCATAGAAGGTATCACACATGCACTTCGATCTAGTGAGTATCATGATCGCAATGCTCAGTACTATCGAGTTCAAGAGGACATGGGACTGCGAAAAGTTCATATCTATGAATTTAGTAGATTGAACATGGTTTATACGCTTCTCAGCAAGCGCAAGCTATTGTGGTTCGTTCAAAATGAGAAGGTTAGTGGATGGGACGATCCTCGTTTTCCAACTGTCCAAGGAATTGTGCGCAGAGGTCTCAAAGTTGAAGCCTTAATACAATTCATTCTTGAGCAGGTAAGACACTAGTCTGTCGTAGTATTATGCATAAAGAAGTTATGAGCTATGCCTATAACATATATATATATATATATATAATGCCTGACCAATGCTTCTTATTATGTCCTTAATTGTTTTTCCTTACTCGGTACTAGTTTGTGTACATAAGATGAAAATTCAATTTATACACCCTTCTGAATGATTAATTTTAGGGGGCTTCGAAAAATCTGAATCTCATGGAATGGGACAAACTCTGGACTATTAATAAGAAGATAATTGATCCTGTATGCCCAAGACATACTGTCGTCATTGAAGAGCGCCGTGTGTTGATGACCCTGACCAATGGTCCTGAGAAACCATTTGTCCGCATCATTCCTAGGCATAAGAAGTATGAAGGTGCTGGGGAGAAGGCAACAACATACACAAGGAGGATATGGCTAGACTATGCTGATGCGGAGGCCATCAAAGTAGACGAGGAAGTAACCTTGATGGATTGGGGGAATGCCATAGTTAAGGGAATTGAGAAGGATGAAGACGGAAATCTCAAACTCACAGGGGTCTTGCATCCCGAGGGTTCTGTTAAGACCACAAAATTGAAGCTCACCTGGCTCCCTGAATCAGATGAGCTTGTTAAGCTCTCATTGATGGAGTTTGATCATCTGATAACAAAGAAGAAGGTACGTGCCAATCAACAAATGTGAAGTTTTTGTTCTTAGTGTATTACTAATCAATTAGTCTGTCGATTGTAAAACACCTTGAATTTTCTTTTCATAAGGATGGGAAGGGAACTTGGGGTTGGGGTAGTTTGTTTAACAGCCTGATGCTTAACTCAGTCACAAAGGATGCTTCATATGTGTACCTTTAATTGTAGTGTATGGAAGATTTCATGTTTGAGGGGGAAATATGCGGAGTTTATCTCGAAAATCATGTTATAAGATAGAAATATAAGTGATAAAAGACCGATCTGAGCAAAACGTTTTAGCTGACTCTTTTTTTTTCTTCTTCTGTAAGTGATGTAATATGTACAGGCTGAGTTACATATTTGTTTTTGTAACTTGTGATTGCAGCTCGAAGAAGATGAGAATTTCGTTGATGTTGTTAACCCATGTACCGAAAAGGAGACTGCAGCACTTGGGGATTCCAACATGCGAAATCTCAAGCGTGGGGATATATTGCAGCTCGAGAGGAAAGGATATTTCCGATGCGATGTTCCCTACCTCAGGCCGTCAAAGCCCATTGTTCTATTTGCAATCCCCGACGGCAGGCAGCAGACTGGATTGAAGTAAAACCTTTACCTTTTTATCGTGTTTTCTACATTGCTGTTCTAGACACGTCTTAACTGCATTATGTATTGTTGGTTACAATTCGGTTTAGTACTTCTAATTTTTATGGAAATGCAGTTTATCTTTGTGTTTGAACTGGCTGTCGCATTGTTGATTTCCGCACTCTTTTTAAGTCTTTGAATCGAACAGATCAAAAGAGAATCAAGAGGAGTGCAGAAGGAGAAAATAGGCGTGCGGAAATCATATTCCCACCGGAATATAGTATAGTTAATACATCATCATAGTTTACACGTTAATTTAAAATAAATAGGCCCATGCTGAAACGTTACCATTATAATTAAACAATAGTTAGTGTCATTAGCTACAACTAATCATGGTTTTAACGCTAGAATATTAAGTTTAGGCTTATTTTATCATATCCAACCTTCTAACATATTTAATCATCTTTCTCTATTCTCATTGTTGTGAAGTGGTTTATATGTAGTCGTCTTTATGCCCTTAGAAAACATATTATCCACCTAATCTTCCCCCAACCATGCTGATTATTCTTTCTTAATTATTGCCTACATGCCCTTCTTTTATTGTTTCGTTTTGGGTTTAACTAATGGTCCCTCCCAGATCGCTTGGATTCCACAAGTGAATAGAAAGTTGGATCTACCTCGGATCTTATCTAAATAGCCTCATTTATCCTCCTGAGTAGAAGTTTGGTTTCAAACCGGGGTTCGAACAAGAGAAGTAGGCCATGCTAATGTGCCTTGGATGATCCACATCTCAAGTTAGGCGCTTATGAGTACATTGACTTTTACCTGAGGTTGGAGGATGCGTCGAACATGTTTTTTTGAAAAAATTATTATTAAGGGCAAGGAAAGTTCCGAACCTGGAACGCATGGCGGAAATCCAAAATCCTATTTACTAAAATATTAGACCATATGCATGCATCGAACTTAGAGTAGCGATTCTAACACTTCAATTTTAGTATCTGGCACTTCAAATCGAGTTTTCCTTATTTTTCCTTACCCAGGATGCGAGCGTCGTACGCTAAACCGGGAGTCTCAGAATTGCTACCCTTGAACTTGTAACTCTTGAAAAATCCACAGGGTTTGCTGACTTTCTAGTTAGAAAATGGGCAATGTATGTAGCAAAGACTTTTATTTATAATGTGAGATTTAGGTGAGGTAGGTAGCTGATTTGAAGACTTGAAGAACAAAACATGTAACAAATTTGGACTAATCAAAGAGAGAAAATACAACGATCATCACCCCCTTCCATCAAATTACAAAACAAACGTAACTCAGAACCCAAAAAGCTCTCTAGGCCTTCGGTGCTAGCTTAGACTTGATTTTGTTAACCTCCTTGGTTCCCACCTTGAACGTCTTGGTCAGCACATCATCCGGCACCTCCGGCGTGGCAGCGAACAACGTGAGGGCGATGTTCTGGGTGCCCTGCAGCTGAGAGTTAAACGCAGAAATCACCGAAGCCGGACTCTTCCCATTGTTGTTCTGGAAGTGAACCAACCCTTTGGGGAACACAAAGACTTCACCTTGCTTAATAGTTTTGCTGATGAGCTTGTTTGCTGTGGTGATAAATCCAACGTCCAATACTCCTTCTAGAACGTAGACAATTTCTGTGGCTCTGGGGTGAGTGTGGGGTGGGTTAATTCCGCCGGGGGCATAGTCAATTCTGGCAAGCGAAATGCCGAGGGTGTTGAGGCCGGGGATTTTTTCGACATTGGCTAAAGTCACCAAGGAGCCGAATGTGTTGTTGGTGAGGCCTGGTTTGGCTAGTCCGGTGAAGAAAAAGTCCTCTGCTGTTGCATTTGCTGCATTCTTGCAGACGAATCCATTGACTTTCACCGCTGTGTTATATACCACAATTCACTTGGATTAAGCAAGAAATTGTACTAAAACTGATACTTAATTTCCTGAAATCATGAATTGGTTTTATTTTTAATCAGGTTCTAGTGTATTAGTGGATCAATGTGATTGTTTGTTGGGGGCTAATTAGGGTTCTTATTACTCGGAACCTCGGATGCAAGTGAGGATGGTCTTGAACCAACCGAACTACAAGCTCCTTGCAGAAACATGATTAGTAGGCTCAACAACAATAAAGTGAGAGAAAATTAAGCTAATCAAAAGATGACCCCAAGCCAACAAGACTCCGTCGTGCAAGAGTTGGGTAATCAAATCATGGATTTTTCTTAATTTTTTCCAGAAATCATGATTTGGGTTTACTTAATCAGCTTCAATTATATGTTTAATGGCTGAATGAGATTAATTATTGGGATGAGGATCCCATCCGGATCCAAATGGTGGGGATCCTAGGAATCCACATATCTTAGCTGTTCATCGTATATCGTAAGATCAGAAATAATTTGAATTTTATTATTTAAAAATAGAGAATTGTTATTAACATTCTAAAATTCTTATTTGGCACTCCAAACTTTCTATAATTAGAAAGAAAAATACACTTGTGAAAAGTATAGAATGAGATTTTTGGAGTGCTAATAACAGTTCCTTAAAATTAAACACAAATAGTACCTGACGAAAACTGAACACACAATATACAATAAACGGCTAGGATGTAAGAATCCCTAAGATACCCACCATTTAGATCTGGATGGGATCCTCATCCTAATTATTGGGGACAATTAAGGACATGATTACCAGACATAAACACAATAAAGTGAATAACCAGCAAAAGAATTATAAATAAAAGAAAAGTTAAGAATATTAACGCAGCAAGTTACAGAAAAGAATAAAGAAAATACCAAATCTCTCCTGAAATCATTAGAACCTGAAAAGTTGCTAATGAACAGGGTCAACTTGTAATTTGCAATAATTGAGGGGACAAAGAAAAGTGGCAACTTTAGCTTTTTAATTTTATTTTCTTCTGTTCTTTTGACATGAATTTCTGTGTTTACTTTTAGCACTAGAATACTGAAACACTGGAAATATAGATGAAGAATTGACGAAGAAGAAGAGGAAGTTACCGGCGGTGAGGTCGGCGACGCAAATGTCCTGAAGCATGTCGGGATCAGCGGCAGAGCTGCCTAAGACGGTGGCAAAAGCCACAAGAAAGAGAGCAAAGACAGCCGCCATTGGTGGTGGTGCTAATTAGAAAGAGGAAGAGAAAAGTTTGGATGTGTGAATAAATAGGAAATGATTGGTAGGATTAGTATTTATAGCAAAGGAGTAGGTGAATGTTGAAGCCTTTGGTACGTACTGTGGTAAATATTATAAGAAAACTTAGAGCTGTTTGGTATCGTATTGAAAAGTTTCGTCATTTTTCAAAGACGAATGTTTAAAAGATTAGATTTGTAGAAAAATTTACGAACAAAGTAATGTGTCAAATTTCATAATTTGCAAACATCAGGGATAGCAAACCTAACATGTGCTTAGAAGTAGCTGACTTTTCAAATTATTAATTAGTCTTACGGTAAAAACTTAATTTCTTTTAAAAATCAGAACAAGTTGTCACACTTATGAACGTAAACTTTAATGACAACACGTGCTCCACGTTACGCGATCTGCAGAAATCGCTTTTCATAATTGAAACTGTTGCTGAAGCTGGTAATATTTGTTGTCGACGTTGTGAGTGAAGGTAAAGGTAAAGCATGAGGCATGCCTCCAAAGCAACGTCATGACATACGAGTCCTTGACCATCTATCTGCTTCTTGAGCAAACCGTTGACCCCATTTACAGCCATTTGCGCCTCCACCGGATCTTACCCTCTTGTCTTTATTTTTGTTTATTTTTAGTATTTTTGTCTCTATGCATCTTTATTTATTTTACTAGTAATTGTACACAGTGAGATGTACTACACAATTTCATATATCAAAAGTTTAAATCCTCGTTTGAAAGTCGTTAATTTGATTTTCTGGCAATTACAGTTTAATAAGTGTGTATAATTTTTTTATTTATATTTTTTTTATGTATTATTTAATACGTTTTTTGCGATATTTTGTAATGAGAATTAATTGTTATGTAGCAAATATTCGGCCGAAATTTTGAAGAATCTCTACGAGAGATGTTAAATTTTAAACATCAAAATGATATTTGATGGCTCATGTGGCAATTTGATATTTTGTACAATTTTTTGCTCCACTTAATATGCTGAATAATATGTCTGAGATCCAATTATTGAGACAACCAATTAAATACTTGAACACACAACAACATTTATTATATATTGCATTAGATCCCTTAGAAAATCATTTAATAAATTTGATAGCAAAAGACTTTGTTTTCAATTAACTCAGTGTCACGTAAGAAATTGAAAGCTCGGTTGGAGAGGGTCTGTTGCTATTTTTTACTGTTATTTATCTACTTGGCATCTTTTGACATCTGCTTTAAAAATTCTATTAGCAACCTAAATATGAAAAGTGAGAGAAATTGGAATACAAAGGTTCACACTGTATTGTCATCGCGAAGCTTTTTATTCATTCAATATGAGCTAACCCTAAATCTTACTTTGTTTTTTTTATATAAACTCAATGACATATGTAGTGACACATCATTCATGATATTATTGCTTTGAATTTGACCTTTTGGTAAGTTTTTGGTTCTCAATAAGCAAGTTATTTTTTTTTATTTTTAAAGATATGGTATTATTTATATTAAAATGTAGGATAGTTAGCTAAATCTCACAATGGATTAGTTATATTAATTTTATTCAAATTCACTTTCAACCGAATTTAAGATTTCTTACTTACAAGTAAAAAAAAAAAGTACAACTAGACTTTAGTACTAAGCGGTTGTATTTTTTTTTTTTCATTACGCTGTAGTTTTTTTCCAACAGATAATTAAGTAGGAGGGTTTTCAATTCATGGAAGGGGATAGATTTGATCATTTGAGTAAATACCAGGTAAAGGTTACGGGCCACCTCATTGTATTATATTCTATTCTTTAATTGACCATTTAACTTCAATCTGATGAGTAGACAATATTGCCTTCTTTTTGACTAATGGTTTTACACTGGTTCACTTCTTTTACTTTCTCACAACTGATATCGACATATTATTACTTATTAGTAAATATTATATATATATATATATATATATTGATAGATCTATCCTTATGATATTTTAACACATATTTTATTGTTATAAAAAATAGTGCATATGTTATTTAATTTTTTTTTTAAATTTTTTAAAAAGTAACACGTGTTATTTTTTAATTGGACCAATAAAAAAATGATTATGTATGTTCGACAAAAAAAAAAAATTGTCATGAAGTTGAATTTCATTAATTTTGTCATTAGTTGTTCTTAACCTTACAAAAATAAATAATTTGTCCTTTTGTTTTTATATTTCCAATTAAGTTGGTACAGCTGAAAATTTCTTATAATAATGCCATTACAATATATTATAAATAAAAATGTTCTCTTGATCATTTCGTGACCATGATCAAAGAATCTATGACCACTCATTATTAGACCTGATATTACGAGTTGTATAAATTTAAATGTGCTTTCAATATCAAATCCAACGCAATGCGACCATGTAATATTAGTCATCACATGAATTAGACAAAGTGACTCACATAAATAAATTCTAAAACTAAGCGTTTTGGAAAAGTATACAAGTTTATTCTTTAACAAACTTGACGTTGCTAAATTGGTTAGGTTGCAATTGCTAACGGAACACTTGGCAAAAAACGAGTGCAGTAGCATTCTAGAAATCATATAGCCGACATCACTTAGTGGGATAAAACTTGGTTATTGCTTCTAAAGGTTGCAATTGTTGTTTCCTTTGGTTGAGTTGTTAGAAAGCATGGAAAGCCAAGAGTGGCTCCATCCTCCAACCGCCACAGTGGGCTCCCAAAAACTCCTTTATTTAACTTAGACTCCATTGTTTTAGGAACATTCTCTATTTTTTTCTTCCCAGAATTTGACATGTTTTGGTGGTTGCTTCCTGCAAATGGCTTTTCTGTTATCTGTCACACTGTTTGCAATTGCACTAGAATGTCGTAACTTTGGTTGGTTGGAGGGCCTCCATCTCCAAGTTCATCAATCATTTTCCTAACCCCATCACTAAACCACCTTTCTTAAGTACTAATCATGCTTTGAGCAGCTGTAAGACGACCACGTCAGCATCATTAAGCGCCTTACTGGTTACATTTAGAAAATAAGATGGAAACTTTCAAGAGCATATGCTTGTTTTGGAGAATCTATGTCCTAGTGCGTGTTTGAAAATTAGCTGTACACTCCATTGACTTTGGGAATATGTAGTTGGGTTCACATTAAGTAACCAAACCCATTACTAATAACAACTTTGGTGAACTTTGTTTTGGTTATGTTTAGTGCGATTAGGGGTCAATAAAAAACGTGACAGTGTTTGATTGATATAAATTTGAGCTCATTGTAGACCTTATTTATTTTTAACGAATATAGTATGGATTTAGCATAATGTTGGGTGGTAAAAAAACAATACTTACAAAAAATGAGTGTAGTGAAGATGAAAATGTTTTGTTGAATGTGTAGGTACACAAGAAAATATATGATTAAGAACAAGGATATCCGAGGTAAAGTAGGATTGACTGCAATTGGAGATAACATGAGAGAATATCGATTAAGATGGTTTGGACACATGAACCAAAAACTTGCAGATGCTCCAGTTAGAAGATACAACTATGAAGTAGGGACTCAAGGCAAAAGTGGTAGAGGGAGAACTAGGAAGACTTGAAAAAAAAAATTTCGAAAAAATATGAAGTACTTGGATCTAACGGAGGACTTGGCGCAAAATCAATCACAATGATGGTCTAAGATTTATACGATGGGACTTACTTCTAAGTGCAGCTTATCAATTGGATGAAGGAAGAAAACATGTCACATGCAAGCATTTAATTGCGATTAAATCCGTATTTTTATTCACAGATATGATTTATTATGCAAGTCAAGAGTTGACATTGAACTGGATAAGGATGAAGATAATCTGGAACCCTAAAAAGGTATATTTTCCAAGTATTTATTAAATAAAAGAATATTGAATAAAAAATGCAACCTCAAGCCAATAAGGCTCTCCACCTTGCGAGCACCAGGAGAGGAACGTCTGTTATACGCAACCTTACTTTTGCTTGAAATGAACAAATTGAAGAACTGGATTTTGAATTATAGCAGAAATCAATTTGGAGATTAGGCCTCATTGTGTGCTCGTTTGATTCAAATAATCATTTAGATTGGTCACCAATAGTCTTTACATGAACACAATCCACCCTTGAAGTGATGAAACCGAACACGATCCCTAACAATTATTTTCCGATCGAAAGCTTGTGAAACAAACTTTGTAAACGAATGACAATCTCTGCAGACTCTAAGGTTCTTTACTATTCGTAAAGGCGTTCCTTCTGGAGTTCTTGCTAGGCCAAAAGCAATTGCCAGCTTCTCGCTGTGACATGAACCGGAAGTTCCCAAACAATCTGTGTCTTTGGAAGTAAGTTCAGACACTGTCATGAGGGAATCCTCCTGCACGTAACCATGCAGAGCAGCTCGATGAACTATTTTCCTCAATTTTTGGTAAATTTCATTAGCATCTGGATGTGACTTGTCGTCCACGACAAATTTGTGAACCTGATCACCAATTTCAATCCAGCTCCAACCAGGAGTGGTCTTTACTCCCTCAGTTTTGATCAATTTTCTCATCTTTGCAACACCATCTGCATTTTTCTCTGTAGAATAAATCGAAGCAAGAAGCACATAGTCCCCTGCATTAGCTGACCCTAGCTGGCTTAGATTCCTCATGGCAATTTCTCCTATTTCTACATTTTTATGAATCTTGCAAGAGCCAAGCAGAGTCCGCCAAAGGACCGGATCCTCCTGGGCACGCGAAGTCCCAATAAATTGAAGCGCCTTTTCGAGCATCCCAGCTCTGCCAAACAGATCCACCAGGCACCCGTAATGCTTAATTCCAGGCTTGACACTGAACTTGGAGCTCATCACATTGAAGTACTCGACACCCTTGTCAACCAAACCTTGGTGACTGCATCCACATAACAAACCAAGAAATGTGATGGAGTTTGGCTGGACTCCTTCGACCAACATCCGCCCAAAAAATGAGATTGCTTCTTCTCCATGACCATGTACTCCATACCCAACAATCATGGAGTTCCAAGTAAAAACATCTTTCTTCCTCATCCTCTCAAAGACGCAAAGAGCACTATCCAAGTTACCACATTTAGCATACATATCAATAAGCGCATTCCCAACATAAACATTCCCCACAAGCCCCTTTTCACTAGCAATTCTATGCATCTGAACTCCGATATTCAGTGCGCCCAAGTGAGCACAAGATGAAAGCAACCCAACAATCGTAAACGCATCAAGACCCACATTCTCATTTCTCATAAGCTTATACGTCTTCAACGCCATATGGTGAAGACCCTTCTGAGAGTAGCACGAAATCATAGAATTCCAAGACACCAAGTCTCTCTCAGACATATTATCAAACACCTTCTCTGCACTCTCAATCAACCCATCTCCCGCATAGGATCTCATAAGATTGGTGCAAACAACGACGTCCTTCTCGTACCCATATCTCACCACAGCTCCATGAACCTCTTCACACTTCTTCCGGGCCTTCAACTTCTCGCAGGCCTTGAGCACGAAGGAGAAAGTGAATGTATCAGGAGGAGAATCGGAACCAGACGAAAGCATGCGATTGTAGTAAAAAATGGCGTGGTGAGGAGAAGGGCTGTTGGAGAAGCCTCTGATGAGGGAATTCCAATCCTGGGTTTGTGGGTTTTGGAGGTGATGATAGAAGAGCAGCTGCGCGTAGGCCAAGCTGCCGGAGACGGAGACGGCGCAGAAGTTGAGCAGCTTGTTTGAAATGGCGGGATCCGGTTGAAGACCGTTGGTGATGACGTGGGCGTGGATTTTTTTGAGCCGTTTGAGGCTGTTGCATCCTTGCAATAGGGATCGGATGGCTTTGGTTTTTGAAATTTGGCACATTTGACTTAATTTTGGGTTTGGGTGGAAGTGTGTAATGTTTTAGTAGAGGCACATACCGGACTTTTATACAAACGATATTGGAACAGGAGAATTGAATAAAGTATTTGTTTAATGTGAAAAAATCAGTTTGAATATGTAAAGCCTTATGTACTTAGACTTTTATACAAGCGATATTGGAACAGGAGAATTGAATAAAGTATTTGTGTAACGTGAAAAAATCAGTTTGAACATGTAAAGCCTTATGTACTTAGACTTGAAAAAGTCATGAATCAAAAAGATACCGTTTAGGTATGAGATAACTAGTTTTACCATTTTAGGGTAAGCCCTAGTTATTTTAAAACATGTTGTACCTTGCATACCCATCCATGGTTAGTAAACATCATCTAAATGTTATTGTCTACTTTGATGGCTTTACAGATCCGGTAAGCCATTACCGGATCGGGAATAAGCAGCAACCACGGCAGGCGACGTTCTGATGAACCGGGAGTTCGACATTTCACTGGTTGGACAATTCTGGTTACAAGAGATTGCATGAAAGGAGACTTACACACCAGGTTTGATCTCCTTAACCTCCAATTAAGGTGGCGTTAAAACACTGCATAATCTCTTCAAAATTTTACATCAAACATCCTCCGAAAACAACCTAAGTCTTGCAATCCTAACGTAAGAAAATGAAAGTGCGTCAATCCGTAGCGAGTTTGCTTTACTCAACTCCATCTCGCTTGAAGTTACAAGGCAAATTCAACTATTTTTTCTTTCTACCGCCACCAGCCTTTGCCTTTTTGTTCGCGGTTTCTTTAGCGGTTTCTTTAGCCGTGCTTTGTGGTGTTTCCTGCAACAAGGATAAACAAATATTACAAAAACAAAACTAAAAGATGATAGAAAGTCCTACTAAAAAGACCTTAAAAAGGCAAGCAAGATGAGAGTGCAGGAATAAACAAGTGATTTTGCTATAAATTAGAGACAAGGGGCCTTCACACGCACATATTTATGCTAATTACTACAGCTTGAGCTCAAGAAACTAGAACCGTAAGACCCCGGTTACAAGCTTTTCATAAAGTTCTGCATTCTAGCTGTGGCAAAACGCGATAGCAACAATTCATTTTTCCTATGATACTGATGATATAAATTAAATGAGATTGGATTAAGCACAGATTCTGTGAAGCTTCACCAAGGTTTTCAGCTTCATGTGCCAAAACAGACGCCTTTGGCTAACGGCATCAAGTGCTTGGAGCCCAAATGAAGAATTGGCAGACTTATGCTGCCAATGACAGTGGGCCTCGAAGGATTACAATCTTGTAGAAAGAACATCTTATGCCTGGTTGCTGGTTTGGGACATTTAAGCACACATTTGCTTCCCTGTCATTCAATGTAGCAAGAAAGAATGATAACCTGTTCCGCCATTTTTGTTCTTTTCATGAGTTAGGGAGGAAAAGGCAATCTGACAGAGACAGATATCAAAATCGAAATGAGGGGAACCTGTAATGTTTCAGCACACACAGCTTGCAGCCTTATGAATTTCCAATTAAGATTCAATAAGATGTGCAAAGGAATGAATATCTTAGCATGTAAAGCAACGCATTTAATTCATATCATCAATTCTGTTCAGCAAAGGGAACTTGTAATAACCTGAGAGACCACTAGCGAGCACAGTAATGACGTGTAAGACCAACAAAGAACTCTTAAGCCTCAAATAAAACATAAATAAATGCCCAATGAAGATAGATGATACAACCAATTAATGCATAAGAATGTTGTCTGCCTCTAACCATATATATAGACACAGAGAGAAGAAAAATGGAAGCTTAAAACACTTAATGGACCATACCTTTCGTTTAATGGGTACAGATGGGTTAGCAGTCGGCTTGAAAAATGATTCAAGTCTGTGAACGATAAAATGAATGATACCTTAGATCCCAATAAAGAAGGAAATTTGTGAATTCATAGCTATTCATGCTAAATCACTCACCTTCCCTGCGATGACTTGTTCTTGGCTGCTTTAATTTTTTCTATTGCCTAATCAACAGAGAAGTCGAGATAAATAAAGCTTACAAGATACGGAAAAAGAATCAACTTAATCTCAGGGAAAGCACGTAAAATTGCTGAGTAGGAGCACACCTTTGTCACTCTGTCACTGTTAAATCCATTTTCATTCACCAAAAACGCAGTCAGTCCCTGTAAAAACGAGAAGACGATTTGAGTACTTTGACATGCAAGAGTCAAAAAGATACATCATCATATAAAAACTGTCAACTGGCAAGTCATTTACTTCTTCATCTGGAGCTGTCCATTTAATCTCAACTTGTTCTTCATCAGATAAAGCAACTGGTTCCTTAAAAAGTCTCCGAGCCTCTTGATAGGGCCACTCCTCTGGTATTTGGTACCTGGAGATAGAAAAACAATAAATGTGCATATAATTACAGCAGAAACAAACCAGGGAAATAGCACAAAGTGCACCCATAAAAAATACAAATTCATTTTCATGCACCGTCGTATATATAAAATACAAGTCCAAAATACAAGATGAACCTTTCTTTGTTTATGTTCTCGAGTATACTCTCAATGGAGCCATGCTGACGGATGAGCTTCAAAGCTGTCTGTCCTCCAATCCCTGTAGTGTAAATTTATAAGGTACTGAGTAATGGATGCATAGCTAAGATTTCAAGGAAACTAGAGAAACGAGTCTCAATAATATATATGAGAGAAGATGTGGTCACAAACTGAATTTGAAACTCCTATGTACCTCGAATGCTGTCACAATAATCACATCCGGAAAGAATGCACAAGTCAATGAATTGATCCATAGTAAGATTTAGCTCCTCCAACACCTGAAGCAAGGCCACAATTAGAACCGTGAATCAAATATTAGGCAATCACGACATTCTTAAAAATTTGTAAGCACCTTAGCTATATCGAATTCCATGACAGGGATTTTCCTTGAGCTAGGATCCATCAAATGACGAAGAAACTTAGGTGCTCCAAATGTAAGGGAATCCATATCTTCAGAGGCCACAGCATAAACCTGCAACAGACAGAAGTTTAATTAATGTCGTATATTTCTAAGGACATGTTCAGGCCAGGAAAGAAATGGCTCCTATTAATTCAACAAAATTTGATGCCGTATATCCCCCCTTGGAACGAAGCCTTTTTGCACAAATAGGGTCCACATAAATACTGTAGAAATATAAAAAAAATGAAATACTAAAGTAAATGGCATTCTTGTAAGAATCCTTAAACAACTCGTAACGAACTGGTCACTTGCCTTTCCAGATTTGCAAAGCACAGCACACTGTGCCTCTGCTTCTGAGGGAGCCTGTGAAAATCAAAACATCGTGAATTACAAACATTCATATTTGTTTTCGCACTGAAATTCAAATCTGCAACAGCTTGCTTAAAATATATTATTTCCCACCTCAACTACAGGCACCCCCATGAGCCTTAGAAGTCTTTTGCAGTCATCATTGTGCTGCTTTGTCACCTGTCAATACAAGAACCACATGGACTCAAACATTCTATTTCTCATATAACATATCTTAAGTGCAGTGATGGTAATTATGGTTACAGATAACAAAAGAAATACAGGCAAAGAACCAACCTTTACTGTTCGTTTACTGTACTTCTCAATATCTTCCTTGTTGCCATCCTGGAAAGAGTTGAAGACAATAAAAACACTGTGAAATGCACTTTACGTTGTCTACATTTTACCAATCAAAAAGTCAAAAATAATATACACGCACCTCCACAGCCGCTGCCAAATCATCAGTGGCATCTGCCCTCTTTGAGTAACTGCATCACAAGTTCATTATGTCAAGCATTATTGAACAAATGCATTGATCAGTAACCATGATTAAGGAATTAGTCAACAGGAAAGCTACCGCTTTGCCAGCTCTTGTTTCTTCAATTCTGGAGGCTTCCCATCGAAAACATAGCTGAAAAACAATTTTTTAGACCGACACTTGTCAATAAGCTTTTGGGTTAGATAGGACAACAAGAAGGACAATATCAAGACTAACAGAACATATATTAAGGGTAAAGAAACTAATTACAGTGGTTTAATTCCAGTTTCCAGAAGCCTAATCGTCCGTGAAAACATGCCTTGCAGATGACTACAATGAACCCAGATAAACAAAACCCATGTCATTATTTGAAAAATATAAGGTTCTTAGCAAACCCACTTAAGTAACTAAAAGTTTAGAACTTTAGTAAAGGGTACCTAGTAACTTCACCAGCCTCATTGGTGAGCATCTCAGTCCCAGTTCTTCCCACAACAATCTACACAATTCCACAAAAACCCACTTCAAAATTAAGCTTCCTTAATCTAAATTCATGCAGTTAATACATCAATTAGAGAGAGAGAATACAAGGAACTGGTAAATGCTCATGCTGGCATCGATGGCGATCTTTCGGCCGAAATAGCTCTCGAATTTCTGCTCCTTCATGGCCTTCGGGGCATTGTCCGCCAGCAGCTTCGTTAAACCCTAACATCACAACGTCCGCAAATCATAAAATCACATTAGCCAATAAATCCCAGATTTAATTCAATACTATTAATCTGGAAACGAAAATTTGTACCTTTATACCCATTGCAGAAGAAAAGAGGAGAGAGAAAGAGTGAAATGGAGAGAGAAGAGAAAGGGTTTTGGCTGGAGGTTAGGGATGAAAATGCTTCCCGCCCATGTACTCCCAAAGGCCGAAGTCTCTAGTGTTTGTTGGGGCTCGTGCAGGTGGGCTTACTCTGTTGCATTGGTTAGCCACTTTCATGGGCTACATTTTGGGCTTTCTATTCCATATTGGAACTTTTTATTATTTGTTTAATTAAATATATTGGAATCTTTAATGAACCCATATTTCATGAGGTAAATATTCCTGGATCCTGTTCTTGTTGTCGAGAAATTTTTTAGTGTGCTATAAAGCGAGTGCATCAGAAAAGAATGGGAAATCGGTTGATCTATTATATGGTGAACCATCCGAAGCATAACTGCACACTCACACGATATTTGCCGAGAGATAGGAACATTCGATGGAACCGGTGAACCACACCTGCTTTTGGATAGATGTGTGGGACAGAGGGCTCGTGGCCAAAAACCTATTTTTTGGTCGTAATTGATTGAACTTCACCTCACCCATGCTGCCTTTTGATGGGAAGTTTACTTGAGAATTTCAAGCTCATAGTTGACTGTATTATTTTTCCACTTGGAACCTAAGTAAGTTATGGATTAGTTTTTCGTAGCAAATCTCAAATAATCAGAACGCGGAAGAAAGAAAATGATGTACTAAATCCATCATCATTCCCACTACTATTTGTCTATGTCAATATTTAGTCCACTCAGTTGCACCAGATTTAACTTCGGGTTTAACTTTGGTAGTCAATTTAAAATCCAAATAATTGCATGTGGTAGGTTAGGAATCGATGGGGAAGGATAGGAGAGGTGACTGGCATGAAAGGCAAAGTTAATTGGCATTTTTACGAAAGTCACTTTAGTTGGTTTTGTAATTTAGTAAGAAAAAGTTTATATATATCAACGAACTGTTTTTATCTGGTTTGGTTGTTGATAGAGTACGGTGATACTTATTAACCGAGTATTTGTGCATGGGTATTTTAGTCATAGGCTTGTATAAGTTAGCCAGGTGGTTAAGATGTTTAGCTAACTTAGTTATTAAGTTTTGACAGCTGTTAGTTTTGTTTGGTTAGCTATATATACTGAAATATGTAAGCAATTGGATTCGGCTAGATAATATAACAACATTTGCGAGATATTACTTTCTCTCTGCTATAATATTCATTGTTCCTTGTTCTTGCTCTTCGATGGAGATTCATGGCGCAATCTGCCATAGTTATCAATACTGTCTTTTTTGCAAACATTTATATGTGTTTACAATAACAAGTTTATTTCTGGACAGAACAAAAAAGAAAAGGCACCACTTTAGATGACCAAGAGAAATCTGTTCATTCGCAAACAAGGAAGAATGAAGATGACTAAGAAAAATCTTTGTGAATATTGACCAGATTAGCACTGCCAACTTTCTAATTACTATGTACACCTGAATGAAAATCTAATTTTCGTAGCTCATCGATCATTTGAACAATGAGCAATTAAGCACTGCTAATCTTTTAATAACTATGAACTTATGTATATAAATTTATTTTATATAACATGAGTTTGTTGTATGTATATATTTCTAGAACCATTTAAACACCAGCAATATTGCGCATACACGTTTGCTAATTATCTCTTAGATAAAGTGGTTGTATGACCACCCAATGAATTTTATCAATTCCTCCTAGAACCCTCTGTCTAAGTGTTTTATTAACTACGTAATATTAATATATTATGCCGCTTGTATAATACTTTAACTGAGATTTCAGGATATTACTTTAGAGGTTTGGATATCTTTGTTTAATTAGTCTATGATTAAGAAAACAGCTCTTAAATTAACTGCAATATCGATGGTACCGATACAAATATTCTTGCTTCGTCCGTCACAAGAAATGTGAAATGACCAAAGCATGCCAAAGTTCACACTTTTTTCTGATGCTGGTTTCTGTTTTGGACTTGTAAAATGATTGGTGAATAATATTAAGAGAAATGCTAAGTGAGATTCTCTGTAAATTCTTTACCACCTCGTAGTTGCGTATCAACATTATAAAATATTGTGTCAAAACATAAGATGTCAAAGAGACTCACTTTCGAGAATCTCTTTAGCATTTCTCATATATTAATACTTAGTTATTATCAGGCAGATTTGAAACTACAAAGACATGATGAGAACATGAAATTTTGAAGCTTTGGTCCCAGAAAACATGGTGAAATTAATCAAGATCCCTTTGAGCTGCATTGTCAACTACTACTAAAAGAGTATTTGGATAAATGAGAAGACGGTTCACTTCATGTGCTTTTCTTCCCCTTTAAATTTGCAACTCGGTTGATGCTTTCAAAGTCTTTCGTTCCAGGGTTTCCTTTTTGGGTTGTCCTAAGAAAAAAGACTGTTACATGAGAAATTTTTTCTTGCGATTGTTGTATCAACACATAGTGTGTACTAAAAGGGGACCCGAATCAAACATTCGAAGATTCGCCAAAAGACCTTCACATGCTTGTTTCAAGGCCTCCAGGCAGTCCTGGTATCACTTGGCCCCAATGTACATCCGTCCTTGCTCACATATCCTAATCATTGAAAAACTTCATGGAGGAATCAACCAAAAAAATGAACATAGAGTTCGTCGAGAGCATACAATTAACTTCATTTATCATAATCCAGACATTTAATCAAACCTAATGAAAAACGACATGTTCCCAAATGCAAAATGGACAAAAATTCACAGCAAAAAAAAAAAGAAGGTGAAAGTTCCAAGTTGCATTCCTCCACTTGAGGGACACGCCATGACAAAAAGAGACAGAGAAAGACAGAGGTAGAGAGAAGAGAGACAGAAATGTAAATTTAGATATATATATATATAGAGAGAGAGAGAGAGAGAGAGAGAGAGAACAAAGTTGACAACAATAAGGCGATCAATCCGATGCCTTCAACGTTAAATACTAGGCCTCTTTTTGTGCTATATGTTCAAGGGCTCGTGTCAAAAAACAAGTACTCTCAACTTATTCTCAACTTTCAACAATGGTAAGTAAGAAAACCCTAAATCTTCTTTCTGTTCATGTCTGTGTTTTTTGTGTTACTCGTGTTAATGTGTTTCACAATGTTCTGCACACCAGGCAGAAGAGAATGCCAAGCCAACCTACAGCTCCCTCGAGCCGGTGGACAAGAAGAAGGGAGGACTCACTGCCTCCAGCTTCATTTTCGGTAAGTAGCCATTCTCAGAAAAAAGGGTGTGCGGAAATCCCTTCTGTGCAGAATTCTATCTGGTTATACTGCTTGCTTTTGTATATATTGGTTTACACTGCATTTTTTTCTTGCTTGTATAGTGTTGCTGGCGTTGGACAGCATGGGATTCGTCGCGAACATGGTCAGCATGGTGCTGTACTTTATGTACGTGATGCATTTTGATCTGGCGCACTCCTCCAACCTTCTCACAAACTTCATGGGATCAACTTTCCTCCTCACCCTCGTTGGAGGCTTCATATCGGACACATTCTTGAGCAGATTCACAACATGCCTGATTTTTGGCGTAATTGAGATACTGGTAAAGAAAAAAAATTCACATGATTTGGTATATTTTCTTCTGGTTCTCCAGTTCTACTTATGTCACGAAATTTTATAAAATTTGTTTCACTTTTAGGCTTTGGTGATGATGACAACGCAAGCTTATTCAAAGCATTTGCACCCAATAAAAACTTGCCCTTCAAATTGTGTCCAAGGCCGTATCGCTGCAATGCTGTATGGATCCCTGTGCTTGTTGGCACTGGGAACAGGTGGCGTGAGGGGAGCGCTGCCGGCACTTGGTGCTGACCAGTTTAACCGGAAAGAGGAAGCGAAGTCGCTGGCGACGTTTTTCAATTGGTTTATGCTCAGTACTACAGCTGGAGCCACTATTGGTGTCACGGGCATCGTGTATGTGAGCATGAATGTAGATTGGTACTGGGGTTTCTTTATATCAACTATTGCAGCCGTTATTGGGTTCTCTGTTCTTGCAATGGGTAAGCCTTTCTATCGCCTCCAAGTCCCCGGCGACAGCCCCATCATAAGGATCGTTCAGGTCTGCCTCTCTCTCTCTCTCCCTCTCTCTCTGTGTTAAAGGCCTTTCCATCTAGTCAAACTCAATTAGCACAAAAACTTTATTAATTACATTTTAACACATGTCAGAATATTGTGACAGGTTATTGTTGTTGCAATAAAAAATAGGCGTTTACCGCAGCCAGGAAGCTCGCATGAACTGTATGAGATTAGTGAGAAGGAATCAAATTATACGGAAGAAAAAATTGCCCATACACATCAATTCAGGTACCATTACATTAATTTATGATTAGTGAGAGTTAAATTTACCCTTATATGTCATGCACTGAAATTGTCAAATTACCTTTTATGTGCCTCACACGTGACGATTTCTAAAAGAAATTGGTGCCTTATGGGTTATGACACATTGTACTAATTTTTTTTCTAATGGTATCGAATCAGTTGTCTGGACAAAGCTGCCATACTTGGCAAAGGCTCCAAGCCCGAACCATGGAAGGTTTGCACAGTAACACAAGTGGAAGAAGTGAAGGTCCTGACAAGAATGTTGCCAATTCTCTTCAGCACCATCATAATGAACACTTGTTTGGCACAACTCCAAACATTCTCAGTCCAACAAGGAAGCATCATGGACCTCCACTTGGGCTCCATCGAGGTTCCGGCGCCATCTATCCCCGTCATTCCTCTTCTCTTCATGTCCATCCTCATCCCACTGTATGAGTTCTTCTTCGTGCCTTTCGCGAGAAAGATCACAAAGCACCCAGCAGGCATAACGCAGCTTCAGCGCGTTGGTGTTGGACTAGTCCTCTCCGCAATCTCAATGGCAGTAGCGGGCCTGGTGGAAGTGAAAAGAAAGAACCAAGCCAACAAGGACCTAACAAAGATATCTCTCTTCTGGCTTTCGTTCCAATACGCTATTTTCGGCATTGCTGACATGTTTACCCTAGTAGGGTTACTTGAATTCTTCTACAAGGAAGCTCCAGCAGGGATGAAATCGCTTTCTACTTCGTTCACTTTTCTTTCACTTTCTTTTGGGTACTTCTTGAGCTCAGTTTTCGTTGACTTGATCAATGCCGTGACGAGAAGAGTTGCTCCGAGCAAACAAGGATGGCTCTATGGAATAGACCTAAACAAAAACAATTTGCAGCTATTTTACTATTTCTTGGCAATCCTTAGCTGCATCAACTTTGTGAACTATGTATATTGGGCTTCATGGTACAAGTACAAAGCAGATGAGACAGATCTAAAGCTGCAGCTTAAAACTTTGCACCAAACACCTCTCATTCACAATGATGCAAGTGTTGTTCAAGAAAGTGGAAGCAAGATTGATGAAGCTGCTGCCTCCACTGAGGAAAATAAAGAAGAAAAGGTGGCAACATGAAGGTCAAAATATAAGAGAGAGAGAGAGAGAGAGAGAGAGAGAGAGAGAGAGAGAGAGAAAGGGGGAGAGAGACAGACAGAGAGGCTTTGTTAAACCCTAACATCACAAAATCCACAGATCATGAAAAACCATTAGCTAATAAATAATATTGCTCTGAATAAAAAATATCGTACCTTTATGCCCATTACAGTAGGAAAGAGGAGAGAGAAAGAGTGAAATGCAGAGAGGGAAGAGAGAGGGTTTTTGGCTGGAGTTTAGGAATGGACGCGAAAGACTCTTTACAATGGTTCGGCTGCACCGTGCAGATAGGCTTAAGCTCTATATTGGGTAGCTTTTTGTATTTGGGCCCTCAAACTTTGGGAGGCTTCTTGATATAAGATTATGGGCTGTAATTTGGGCTTTCTACTCCACTGAAATTTTTCTTAATATGTTTCTGTTTGATCGTACGAATCAAATGAGATACATGTTTGATTGTATGAAATAAATTTAAAATGATATTTGTTTGTTCGTATGTGATAAATATACCTCAACAGTTATATGATATGTAGTTATTCTTGTATGAAAAAGAATGTGCACTCCTTATAGGCACCAAAGTTTAAATCTTTATTCTCGAAGTTTAGATTATTTGTTTTAAGCATAATAGTACTCCTATAATTTTTGTTGTTATTGAGACTTTTGGGGTTAGCTAGTGACTAGTGATGATGGTTGGTAGGAGTAGGCAAGGTTTAAGTTTATAATCCTTTAATTTCATAAAAAAAGAAAAACGTATTTAATTTCTTTTTAGATTCTCGAGATGCTCAAAGGAAGATCCATAGATGGACCAAGGTTATCCCGGCACGCACCCAATGTCGGTAAAACACCAATGAAGGTCCTCCGGGGACCCTCCAATGTTTCGACATGGAGACTGGTTTATGCCTATGGATATATACGGGTTATGTCCGGGCAATTTGTTTATTGTGTTAAATGACATAGTTACGCCAATCAAAATTCTAGTGCATGATGCATCCATGGAGGAGTTGTGAAGTTGCAGAAGCTTTCCCACAAGGAAGAAGAGGCATGTTGACACACTTTTTTTTTCTTGGTCCTGTGTCAGTAATTTCTTGCTTTATCTTACGAACTTTATATGAAATGAACTGTTTCACAGACATGACCCTCACTCAATATGGGTTAGATTTCAAATGAACTTAAAGAGTGAGAAAGCCCAATAAGTTGACCTTTTATTTAGAATAGCTAATAGAAAAACTTTTTTTTTCTTTTCTTTCTCCATAAAGTATAGTAAAGCTATATTTTATGATTTGGCTAAAAACAACGTTGAGGTAAATTTTTGTAATTTACTAAATTGTAATGTTGTTTTATCATGATTTATAAATAAAGAGTGTTATTGCATAACTCTTAATGTTATTTTTATCCAATTTTTTTTTAAAGTTTTAGATTAGAACCCCTCAGTCAAAATTCTAAATCCGCCACTGTAGACGTTTTTATTGTGAGGAATAATTTATTAGTTGCGTGATGATTGAGATAAAGATAAAATGTATGTGTGTGTATATATGGTACTAGGGCATATTCTCCCCTAACATTGTGTAGCAGGTAGCTAGCTACTCTTACTGGAAGCCATTGGGGTTTTCTTTATGCACCACCCATACCAGAATCACATAATTGAAAGTGAACATATGAACCTTTTTTTGGCACTGGAAAAGAACATGAACCTTAACAGATAAAATCTGACAAAACAAGTACTTACTATGAAGAATGTGGACTGATAAAAAGCTGCAGGAAAAAGGCTACAACTGACGGTAAAATCTTCAGGTAAAAAGAAGAGAAGGCAAAGGGGAAGGAGGTGGAGCATGCTGCATATGCAACAACTTTGGAAAAAAGCATACAAAAATCAAAAGAGGAATTGATGGAGATAAGAGAAAGAAAGATGATGGAAATAGAAATGGGAGGTGGGGGCAACTCCTGCTTTAATCATGGAACATAATATTTCTGGAAAATGCATAAGCACTTAGACAGGAAACATCATCAGCAATCTCTGTGACTAACTTTTCTTACATCAAAGCCATTTTTGAGCTGAAGGTCCAACTATGCAGGGAGACTGGTTTTCCTTGTCAAGTTCAAGTTGTTGGAGAATCAAATCAAATTTCAGTTATTGAGTTAGAGGCATGAATAAGGATTAATGAAGATAGAAGCCCTAGAGTTGTAATGTTTGAAACTACCAGAGTCGGTCATAATATTTATTTCTCCAGATGTTTCAGTTACAAAGTTGTTCTTAATTAGCTAAATAAATTAAGATGTATTGCTGCAGCTATGAAAATCATGTATTGTTATCGGTTTTTGATGTGTGAAGAAATCTGAAAGTTTTCACGTTAAAAGCCTCTCCCTTCTTCACTACATAAAGTTTTACTTAAGATTTCTATCCCCCTTCCTCCTACAAATTGGTATCAGAATTCTGATCATGTCATTAAACCGTCTGAATACGAATACTTTCATAAAGTTACTGAAAATTGAAATGCATTTAGAATCCAAACTTATTCCAATAAAGAAAATCCCGAAGTATTCCAATTTTTTTATAGCTAATTATTTACTAAAATTATATATTTTGTAATGTTTTTTGTAACTTATTATTGTTAGTTTTGGATACATTTACATTTTGCTCATTGTTTTTATATTAACCATACAACAAAAATTCTTGGATTTATACATCAACATATAACAAATATTAAGAATGTACATTAGCCACTTAGTACTACATTCTAGGAGTATTATTCTTTACTTGTAAATAAGATGTCTTAAGTTCGATTCTTGCTAAAGACGAATTTGAACCATATTATTGCTAACTCATTGTGAAGATAAACCCACATTCTCCCTTTAGTGTAGATAATATAGTTTGTTCAAAAATAAAATTACAATAAAGTGCATGTAGGAAAAGGTTCGAGGATATTAAAAATTTGCAAAATATATAAATTTTCGAAATATATTTCAAAGTTTTTTAGATTACTCTTATCCCAAAAATTTTGAATTTAAAAATTATGGTCTGGTTATGAAATTTTGTAATGAAAATTGGAACATTATTTTTGACATGATCCGTTATGAAGTCGTTCTTAGTCCTACCAAATAAAAAGTTAAAATTTTCTTGTTTGGAGCCTAGTAATCAAGGTGCCCTTAAAGTTGACAGTGACATCAAATTAATTGAACCTTTTCTTTGGTCCTAATTGATTGAACTTTACCTCACCCATGCTACCCATTGATGGGAAATCTACTTGAGAATTTCAAGTTCATAATGCATATAGTTGACTGACACTGTACCCATTTTCGTTATAAATTTGATTAATTCTTAATTATCACTTGTTGTCAAATGTATCTCTTATGAAGAATTCTTAACCATCATCTGTTGTAAAAAAGATATAGTCTCCAATTCCAATCAATCCAAATTTATTAGGCCTTTTTATAATATAATTCCCTTTAATTTTGTATTTTTTTTTCCATTTAATTTCCTTGACTAAAAAATAAAATCATCGACGGCATCTATTTTGTTTTTGTCTAAAAAAAATTCTGTAATATCACTAACTATATTAAATCACAAAATAAGAAGAAATAAACACACAGATATATACATACATACATATATATATATATACCCACACACAACTATTTAGAGGGAAATTCTACCCTTGCATGGCCACCCAATGAATCTTGTCAATTTCTCTGAACAGCCTCTGTTTAAGTGCTTTATCAAATGGCATTGTCATCTTGCTTGGTGGCAACTCCAAAGTACTATTGGACGAAAATGGTGAATGGGGAAGTGGATTAATTAGTATATAAATAGGGACCCATGACCTAAAGAAGCTTTCGATCAAGTCGAGTTGTACACGGTTGTTAAGGCCCATTTGGCTTGCTTCCTCAAATTTAAAGAAACAGGTATGGGAGCATGACCCCAGAACCTAAAGGGTCATTAGAAGTCTAGAATGATAGACGTGAATTATATCCGTTGATTAGGGTAGTGTGAAATTTAAGGAATATTGCTTGAGAGCTTTGGATATCTTTCATAATATCGTGACGGTTCACTTAATTGTATTTGTATAAATGATAAAGCATATCAGTTGAGTATCAAACAAAATTTAACACGAATACGTGAGTAGTTAAAAAATGTGTGTTTATCATTTCTCTACTACAAATATTTAAGAAAAATGAATTTTTTTGAAGCTTTGGTCCCAGAAAACATGATGAAATCAAGATCCTTTTGAGCTGTATTGTCAACTACTACTAAAAAAGTATAATGAGATGAGGGTTCACTTCATGTGCTTCCCTTCCCCTTAAGTTTGCAACTGGGTCGGATGCTTTCAACTCGGCCCCAGGGTTTCATTTTAGGAGGGTTGCACTAAGAGAGTAGAAGTGGTACATGATAAATTTTTCTGTGTGATTGTCATGTTAACACGTGATATTATTAATTTATCGACACATAATATTACTAGTTTAGTTTTGCAATACACATATACATATAATTAATAGTACCATACCCCTACTCAGTAAAATATTAACCTTATTGTTAACATATATTATAATACATGACTCAATAACATCAAATTACTAGATAAGGCGAAAGAATAATATAAGTTATAAAGCTTGATCATGTGGTGGATCGAAAATATTTTATTAATGGTGCACTTGGCCAATAACAAATTATGGTCATGCCAAATCACCACCGCCGTATTCTAATGAACTGTTCAGTGCATTTGCTTTAGGGAATTTTAACGAAAAACTTCTGGTACTATTCATTTTAACGAAAAATCACATTTTTATTCTAAAAAGTCAATATTGGTACTATTCACTTTATCCTTTTTTTTGTTCTTATCGTTAAAACTCAAAGTTTTCAAGCCCTTTTATTAGGATTTCTTGCTAAATATACTTTAGGTTCTCATATGATACTTGTGAATTTGCTTCAGTAAGATCTTTGTATTAAGGTTAATGAGATGTTCAATAAGTCTGTATTAGGGTTAATTAACAAACTAAAATACAGCATATAATGATAATATTATAATAATTGCATCGAGACTTTTTGCATATATTGTATTCACTTATTGAATTGTGCAGGTTTCATTTCATTTATAATTATCAACTTTTATCACCTAACTAATTCGTTACAAGTTACAACTCAATATAACAAGTTTGATATCTAATTGTGGCTGATAGACAACATGTGATATTACAAATTGAGTGCTTTTTGTTTGTATAATTTAATGTTCCGTGACTATCTAGTAAGACTGATCAGCGACATATAACCTAATCATTGAAATACCTCATGGAGAAACCATTTGAGCATAGTTGTCCGAGAACATACAATTAACGGCATTCATATGTTCAAAATCATCATAATCCAGACACTCAATCAAACCTAATGAAACATGACAAAAGGGTAAAGTTCCAAGTTGCATTCCTCCAACACTGAGGGACACACCATGAGAGAGAGAGAGAGAGAGAGAGAGAGAGAGAGAGAGAGAGAGAGAGCAAAGCTGGCAACAAAGGCAATCAATCTGATGCCTTAAATACAAAAAAACTAGGCATCTTTGAATGCTATATGTTCAAGGCCTCTTGTACCAAAAACAAACATTCTCAACTTAATTTATTCTCAATTTTCAACCATGGTAAGTCAAAAAGCCCTAAATCTTCTTTCTGTTTATGTCTCTGTGTTTTTTGTGTTACTCTTGTTAATAGGTTTCACAATGTTCTCCACACCAGGCAGAAGAGAATGCCGAGCCAGTTTACAGCTCCCTCGAGCCGACAGACAAGAAAAAGGGAGGATTCACCGCCTCCAGCTTCATTTTCGGTAAGCAACCATTCTCAGAAAAGGGTTGCAGGGAAATCACTTCCCAGCATGCTAGTTATATCCTTGCTTTTGTATATTAATTATGGTTTACAATGCATTTATTCGGCTTGTGTAGTGTTGCTGGCATTGGACAACATGGGATTCGTTGCGAACATGAGCAGCTTGGTGCTGTACTTTCTGTACATGATGCATTTGGATCTGGCGCACTCCGCCAACCTTCTCACAAACTTCATGGGATCAAATTATCTCCTCTCCCTCGTCGGAGGCTTCATTTCTGACACATACTTGAGCAGATTCACAACTTGCCTGATTTTTGGCGCAGTTGAAATACTGGTTACAAAAAAATTTCACATATTTTGTTATTCCTGTTCTAGTTCTACTTATGTCACAAACTTTAATAAATTTTGTTATTCGCACTTAGGCTTTGGTGATGATGACAATTCAAGCTTACTCAAAGCATTTGCACCCAAAAGAAACTTGCTTGACAAAGTGTGTCGAAGGCCGTATCGCTGTCATGCTCTATGCATCCCTGTGCTTGTTAGCTCTGGGAACAGGTGGCGTGAGGGGAGCACTGCCCGCACTTGGTGCTGATCAGTTTAACCGGAAGGAGGAAGCAAAATCACTCGCAACATTTTTCAACTGGCTTTTGCTTAGTACTACAGTTGGATCAATTATTGGCGTCACCGCCATTGTGACCATTAGCACTGAAGTAGCTTGGTACTGGGGTTTCTTTATATGCACGGCTGGAGCATTTATCGGGTTCGCTGTTCTTGCGATGGGCAAACCTTTCTATCGCCTGCAAATCCCCGGCGACAGCCCCATCATTAGAATCATTCAGGTCTGCCTTTCTCTCTTATCAAACTCTTTGCGCACAAACTTGATTATTTTACTAGTTAATATTAACTAGTGTAATGTGGCGAAATGATGTGACAGGTTATTGTTGTCGCTATAAAAAATAGAAGTTTACTGCAGCCGGTGAGCTCTCATGAATTGTATGAGATCAGTGAAAATGACCTAAAGTATACTGAAGAGAAAATTGCACATACAGATCAATTCAGGTAACATTACATTAATTTTTTGTTAAAGTTCGCCAATAATTTGCAATAATTCAAACAAGGCTTACCAGATGGTATGTTCCCATCTTGGCATGCCAAGATTCTTGAAAATTGACAAGAAAACAAAAGAAAAGCATATGACTAAGGAGGAAATTGATAATACAACGAAAAGTTCACATCAAAGTTTCTGTGCATGTGATAGGGTTTTGCTTTATGAAGCGAACTTTTTGGACCATGATATCCGTTTATTTATTTGAGGGGTAGACAGGATGTGAAGTTTTTGGAATCTTTTAATCATTTTTTTGTTGACTTCATTAGATAGCAATTTACAACTATGTAGATCACTTCATTTTTTTATTCTAGAAAATGGGCGTGTTCTGAACAAGATTTCACAAAGAAGATTGATAAAAAAAAATTAAAAAAAAAAAGTGCTAAAAAACAAGAGAAATTTCCATCTAGTTCATGTGGTAATACTTTCGTTCATGTATTTCCAATTGCACTGAATTTAATTTTTGGAAGTATGCAGATTATTTCATTCAAGAAATTCGTCAACTTATGATAATTTTTTGTAAGAAACATTTATCAAATTACCCCCGCCTCCAACCCATGTGTCGCGCACTTGACGATTTCATTCATGATATTAGCAAAAGTCGACGGATGTTCTTAAATTTAAATAGTTTATAAAGTTTCACTTTCATTCCTTTATTTACAATTACTTCGAGTTTGGTACAAACTAAGAGATCAGATTTGTTGCAATTGAAAATATAAAATAAAAATAGATCTCCGTGATAACTACGTGGATTAAAAACGAATTTAGACCGTAACTAGGTAATTAGCGTCTTTTTTTACTGCATAGTATTGTACCTGTAGTTTCACAAAGTTCAAACTTTCATTCATGTATTTTCAATTGCTCCGCATTTCCTGTAGTTTGTAGATTTTTCCACCCAAAAACATCCCTTAACTTTTGTTGATTTCGTATACAAAGTCAGTCAAAATTACCCTTTCATGTGCCCCGCACTGAAATTTGTCAAATTTACCTTTATGTGTGGCTCAAGTGACGATTTCGTGCAAGAAAATAGTGCCTTTGGTTATGACAGAGTAGTGAGTACTAATTAATTACTGCCTAATGGTATTGAATCAGTTGTCTAGACAAAGCTGCCATACTTGGCAAAGACTCCAAGCCCCAACCCTGGAAAGTTTGCACCGTTACACAAGTGGAAGAAGTGAAGGTCCTAACAAGAATGCTGCCAATTTTCTTCAGCACCATCATCATGAACACTTGTTTAGCACAGCTCCAAACATTTTCAGTCCAACAAGGAAGCATCATGGACCGCCACTTAGGCCGCATTGAGGTTCCGGCACCATCAATCCCCGTCATCCCTCTCCTCTTCATGTCCATCCTCATCCCGCTCTACGAGTTCTTCTTCATCCCCTTTGCGCGAAAAATCACAAAGCACCCGTCAGGCATCACGCAGCTTCAGCGCGTCGGCGTTGGACTAGTCCTCTGCGCAATCTCAATGGCAGTAGCCGGCATAGTAGAAGTAAAGAGAAAGAACCAAGCCAACAAGGACTTCACAAAGCCGATATCTCTCTTCTGGCTTTCTTTCCAATACGCTATTTTCGGTATTGCTGACATGTTTACCCTAGTAGGGTTACTTGAATTCTTCTACAAGGAAGCTCCTGTGGGCATGAAATCGCTCTCCACCTCGTTCACTTTTCTGTCACTTTCTTTAGGGTACTTCTTGAGCTCGATTTTCGTTGACGTGATCAATGTTGTGACCAGTAGGATTACTCCGAGCAAACTAGGATGGCTGCATGGCAAGGACCTAAACAAAAACAATTTGCAGCTATTTTACTATTTCTTGGCAATCCTTAGCTGCATCAACTTTGTGAACTATGTCTACTGGGCTTCATGGTACAAGTACAAAGCAGACGAGGCAGATCCAAAGCTGCAGCTCAAATCTTTGCACCAGACACCTGCCATTCACAATGATTCAAGTGTTGTTCAAGAAAGTGGAAGCAAGACTAATGAAGCTGCTGCCTCCACTGAGGAAAATACAGAAGAAAAGGTGGCAACTTTATGAAGCCCAATTTAAAAGGGAAAAAACAGAAAAGAAAGAAAGGGAGAGATAGATCATATATAATTCACCAAGGGGAGGAATTATAAGGATAATTAATGGGTTTATTTTCTCTATTTTTATCTTCTTTTTCTTTTTTTGTGTGTGTGTGTGTGTGTTTTTTCTTGGAATTGTAAGATATAGTGTGTTTCGGACATTGAATGTGTGAATTTTCTGTTTAATAAGTTTTTCTACCACCTTTTCATGAATAAAGAAAAGTGAATTTGTCTTGCAAAAACCATCTTGGCCATTTTGCATGTGTTAGTATACTGGTCCAAACAAATAAAGGCACTTAAGATTTGTTTAGAAGCGCATTAGAATAATTAAAATAACTTTCAAATTATTAAAAAACTTTCTAATAATGTTTGGTGGTATTTCTCTTCACTTGTAAGTAAGAGGTATTAGGTTCGAATTTCGTAGATGACGAATCAATGCCAAATTAGGTTACTCATTGTATGGCTTAGCCAAACTCTCCCTCCTCTTAGTGTAAAATATATCGTTGTGCTAAAAAAAATGGCAATTCAAGTGTTTTTGTTTTGCTATGTATACTTCTTTGAGGGCGAGCCTTGGCGCAACATAAGTGTTGCTTTTTTGTGACCAAAACGGGTTTGAGTCGTGAAAATAGCATCTTTGCAAAGTAAGAGTAAGACTTCATACAATAGACGTTCTCCCCCACCCCTCTTCTCTTCTCTTTTGTGACCGAAACGGGTTTGAGTCGTGAAAACAGTCTCTTTGCAAAGTAAAAGTAAGACTTCGTACAATAGACATTCTCCCCCACCCCTCTTCCCTCCTCTTCAACCCTCGCAAGGCGGAAAACCATGCTGGCATGGAATCGCCTTTTTATGCATACTTTTAAAACCCCTTCAAATGAGTTGTAGAAGCAATTCCTGCGTTCAATCCAAATTGCATAGTCGTATTTGAATTTGACTATTAGGTTACGTAGGCTATATTTTGAGTGAATTAGAAACACGGTACAAGAGAGATTGAGGAATTCTGAAATTTCTACATTAATACATTTGTTATCTGTCTTTTAAAATTCCTCCATCCAATATTTTGTAGCTCATTTCTAAGTGTTCCTAAGTTCATTAGCACATCCATGACGTCCACGTGCCTTAGGTAGAATTTGGGCCGGGCTGCTGCTCTACAGCTCAAATGATTAAGCCCAATGTCAGCTCAACCTACATACAAAATAAGACCCAAAAATGATGCCCTTAGCTTAAATTTGACCTAAATGAAATTAGCTCATCAAGTTTCCCAAACATGGCCTCAACCAGATTTTTTTTACTTTTCCATATGGCGTATTCTATAGTCTACTCTACATGCAGGGAGATTCTAACTTAGATACTAACTAACGTAACTCACGTCTGTAGACTACAGCTTTAAACTAAAACGTAAGATTCACAATTCCATCTTTATGCCTTATTAGGTCAAACCCACGTTAGTATAGTGGTGTGGAGCTCTCAAGATTTTCCTGTTTTCTTTTTACTGGCTTCGCCATTAGTGAAGCTTGGAATCCTCGGACTAGGACTGTAGGACATGTCCATTTTGTGTGTCCTACAAAAATGCTTGCCAAAAGATAATCTGCAAGCATTCCAGTCTTTGCATTATATTACAATTTATTCACAGAACATTTAATAATCATTTCGTTTTAAGTTTTTAAGTTTTTAGTTGTTTGGTAACTATCAGTTTTCAAAAAAATGAAAATGTTAAACCAAAAACTAAAACCAAATTTTGAAAACTAAAAAGTGAAAAATGAAAACAAAATGATTATCAAATGCCTCTTAAATTAGTGTTACTATGATATTGTTTCTTGTAGATTTTTTTAGTAAGGACCAGCTCATGTCATGGTCTAGGTCCTTAGTTGTTGAATCCTTAACTAATAACAATAACTAAGATCCAACGACTAAGAACTCTGTACCATGCAAGGAACAGGTTCATATTCTAAATGGTTCTTGCTTGGATGATGAGTTCCACAATGATACTACCATGCTCATTGTGTGGTTAATTAGTGAAAGTAGGCTAATTAATGAGGAATTTTGGAGTTGCAAAAATAAGTGTGCGGACCAAACCCCGATTTGTTGGTGGAATACAATATGTGAGTAACAGCAGTGCGTGACAGAACTTGATGGGTTGTGCCATCAAGCTTCAAAAGATGCATGTGATCATGGGACCATGACAAAGAGCTCAGCTAGCTAGCTCACATGCCACCACCTCTTTTCATTAATTTGGTGGTTTTCCAAATTAACTGGATTCATCATTTAATTATTGTGTCTCTTACACGTGACTGCACCATACTTTTTTTTGTTTTTTGGTCATAAAAGACCAGCACACTTAATTATGTGGTTTAAATTAGATCCATAATGTGAAAGCATTCGCCTAATTGGATCACTTGTGATATAGGAAAATGAAGCATGGTAGATTTTGTAGCAATTGAATCGATCATGGGATGAAATATGAAGCAAACTCTATCTAACGTTTTTTTCTTATTCAAAGGATGATAATAGATTAAGTGAGTCAAAGTACGCATAAGGTTTAGTTATCGAACTAGTAGAAATCTCACTCTCTAAAACTGTATAATGTGGAAAGAAAAAACTAAGACCCCGGGATTTAGTCATGAATTAAAAGCAGGCTACTTCGTTTTACTTATAACGATTAGAAAATGTTAACTCCCTTATAGAACTACCCCCTCTCTCCCCTAGTCCCCTATCTCCAAAATTTATTAAATAAAGAAAAAAACGAAAATAAAAGAATGCAAGTAGGGGGATGAAGCCAAAATCCTCAAAGAGAAAAACAAAGAAACATCAACGAAAAAGAAAAACAAGATGAAACTCAAGGTCATGAGCGTGGACAGCAACTACAAAATCTAAAATTATGTACATTGAATCCATGCAATTGAATCTGAATTTTCTTTTAGTTAATTATGTATATATAAATAGCTAAACTAATTAACCGTGTACAAACTAATCATGTTTTAATCGATCGCGCGCACACATATATATACAAAGGATATTAGAGGTGGAAAAGTACATACACATGATTAACAAACCTTTTGCATTAAGAGAACATATTAAACAAAGGGAACAAAGGTGAGGGATCTCGGATGTGTCGCTCATAAGACGGGTTTATAATGAAAGTTACTATTGTATAATGCAGATCGGTACTGGAGCCCAACAAAACGCATTGAGATCCAATAATTATTTTGAATACACTCTCGAATTCTTTGACTATCTCAAGATATGTAATATGCAAAATATTTAAAGAAAATTAACGAAAAGTTCAAAAAATTTTAGTTTTAATGAATAATGATAAATAAAGGTATAGTGAATAGTACCAGAAAAAGGTAAAAATGTGATTTTTCGTTAAAAATAAACAATACCGAAAGTGTTTTGTTAAAACTCTCAAATATTTGTAAACCAATCTAGACATATATCAGAGAGGAAGAAGATTGATAGAGAGAGAGAGAAACGAGAGAAAAAGAATACTTGGAGAGCAAGATATATTTCTAAATTGTATTTTCTATTTCACATTAACCTCAACTGTTTCATTACAAAGGATATTTATACTATCTAAGATAGCTTCCTAACTAAGCTATCTTCTAACAATCTTATAACTGCAAGACTAATCTCTTGACATTTGGCAACATCTTATCCATTCATATAATACTCCTAACATCCCCCCTCAAGCTCAGGGGCAGAGAAACTGAGCCGGAGATTGTTGCAATGGTGCTGAAGCAAAGGTGCGGACAACCCCTTTGTGAAAATATCGGCAAACTGCTCACCAGAAGATACAAAATGCACTTGCAGAAGTTCGTTAGCAACCCGTTCTCGCACAAAATGTATATCAACCTCTATATGTTTTGTTCGTTGATGCTGAACAGGATTCAAGGTTAAGGCTATAGCGGAAAGATTATCACAATACAGAGTTGGTGTAGCAGATACAGAAACCTGCAGAAATGCCAACAACTATTTAATCCAATCAATCTCAGCTGCTGTAAAAGACAATGCCCGATACTCGGCCTCTGTGGATGACTGAGATATAGTTTGTTGTTTCTTGGAGGACCATGAGATCGGATTCGAGCCTAGGAAAACAACCAAACCAGTGGTGGATCGCCTATCATTAGGATCCCTTGTCCAATCTGCATCACTAAAAGCTGTAAGATCCAAATCGCCCTTAACATATCGAATACCACAGCCTTGTGTAGCCCGAAGGTATCTAAGAACCCTCTTGACTGCCAGAAAATGAGATTCCATTGGGGCCTGCATAAATTGACTCACTTGATGAACTGCAAAAGCAATATCAGGTCTTGTGAAAGTTAGATACTGAAGAGCACTCACGAGACTTCTATACAGTGCTGGATTGTTGTACGGTTTCCCATCATCTTTCAATAAACGATTATAAGGTAAATAGGGAATGGCACATGGCTTGGAAGACAACATTTCTGACTTGGTGAGAAGATCAGTGAGATACTTATCTTGAGACAAAAAAATCCCATTTGGTTGCTGCATAATCTGTATGCCCAGAAAGTAATGCAATGGTCCCAAGTCCTTAATATCAAACTCATTTGCCAAGGCATGAATAACATCAGTAACACAGTGACTTGCACTACCTGTGATGATTATATCATCAACATACAATAAAAGAATCACAATAGAATCACCAGCATGCTTGACAAAGAGTGAAGAATTAGAATAAGTGGACTGAAATCCCAAAGAAGGTAGAAACTTGGTAAATCTGTCATTCCATGTCCTAGGGGCTTGTTTCAAACCATACAAGGACTTATAGAGCTTGCAAACATAATCCTCATGTTTAGAATCATGAAATCCAGGAGGTTGAGACATATAGACCTTTTCTTGAAGAATGCCATGTAAAAAGGCATTTTTCACATCTAACTGCCTTAAACACCAGCCATAGTGTGCAGCCAAAGCAATAACAAGTCTCACAGTGGTTGGTTTTACCACAGGACTGAAAGTCTCCCCATAATCGATACCTTCTTCTTGATTAAACCCCTTTGCAACTAATCGGGCCTTATATCTCCATATAGAACCATCAGCATTCTTCTTTATTTTGAACACCCATTTACAGCCCACTAAATTTTTGTGAGGAAGAAAAGGAAACAAGGACCAAGTACCTTGATGATTGAGAGCTGAGAGTTATTCTTTTATGGCTTCACACCACACAGGAGATGTCAAAGCAGATTTATAGGTAGCAGGTTCCACTTTAGTGAGATCAACCCCTCCA